TATATTTATATTGCATATTTACTTATCTGTAATTTCCTGCAAAGGATCAATAAAGTATCCAACAATCCATCCTAAAAAAATAAAAAAAATAAACCCCTGATATAAACACATGTATGTCTAAATACTCAGTTAATTGTTAGAGTTCCCAGTTATTCTGCCAAGTGACCATGTACAGAAATTTCTGATTGGTTAATTGTTATCCTCCCCAGGTGTTAGATTAAAAGGTGTTGCTTTAACTTATGTACAACATGCTTGTAAGTAAAGCAGACTTGTGAGTTTCTGTTTCTGGCAATCATACTATGTAATGCAACATTATGGGATGAAACATTAAACAAAAGTCAAACAAGGGTCAGAGCATATTCCACTGACTTTTATCAGAATGTTTAATCAGGCCTGTGTTGATGCTGAAAACACTTCACCACCTGACCCCTTTGTCAAACACAACTCTACTGTTTGACAAGCAATTACAGCCATCAGGCTCTTGCATCCAACAAAGCCGGGACAAGGTCACTTCCTGCCTCAGTTTCAAGCAGAAGCAGGAGAAATTGTAACTTTTATCCCCTCTGTGACAAATGTATTCATCTAAAACTGACAGCACCATGTCCTTTTGCTTTGACAGATTGCTCTGTCAAAGTTCGCMTGTAGTTCGCCTTGAAAAAGTCTGATTGATACGGGACACTGTTCATGTGAATGATCGGCTACATTTAGGAAATTTTTGTCTTTGGGTTGTTTAAATGATAAAACATCTGGCAATATAAAAGAAAAGAACAAGCCAAARCCACAATTTAATAAAATATTTCTGCTTCTCGTATTAGCAATGCATGAATTAAGAGTAACAGAAAAAGAAAATAAAAAATGGGATGAATTAAGATTGATTCAGTACTTTCCACAAGAAATAACGTAGCTTCAATTGTCTTAGAATAAAATAGCCATTATGCAAAGATGTTTTTACTTGTTCTACAGAAAACCCAGGCTGTTTTCATGCATTTTAACTCCTCTCTTTCCTGTAGCATCCTACATTAGAGATGTTTGACTCAAAAACAAACAAAAACATCTTTTCCAGAGAACTCATTAAATGGGTCATAAAACAGACTGATAGAAAGCACAGCATGCTGTAGCAAGTTAATTGAATTTGTGCATTCTTGCAGGTCTAACGCAGGACATGCCACTGACTTGCAAACAACACGTTGGAAGTGTCCTTACTGAGGCTTTACTTTAACCGGTAAAAACTGGCATATGTCTGCAGTTTCAGTCATGCAGCAGTGACACCATGAGTCTCACAAAAAAAGGATAATTTAAAGCATTAAAAGTCAGAAGAGTCACATAAACATCTGAGACTGAAAAGAATCCACCCAGTGAAATATTTGCTTTACTTATGCCTACGCCTGCAGTTATTTAATGTACTTGAATGGAGGAATTATCTGAGAGATCAAACAGAAGTTGTTTTGGAGCTGTCAGCAGTGAGTCGAGCGGAGCACTGAGTGACATCCTGTTTGTGGAGAAACCCAGTGAGAGTTAGCTCCAAGCCCGTGGATCACTTTTTCATGATGCGTTTGAAATCCTCAACTTTCAAGGCTAGGAAAAAAAAAATCAACTCGCACACACTGACACAGTGAGTCCAGTTTGACCACCACACAGAGCTGAATTTTTACACCATTACATCACTTCCAAGGACTGCAATGTGTGTGTAGCATGACAAAAATATCTGTTTGTGCCTCTTAGCAGACTTCTGAATAATGGTGCAATGCAGCATAGAAATATGCCTTTTTTAATTATTTACTGACTTGTGACAGTAAGAACAGTTACAACAAGTGTTGATAAATTAATTTGAATATATATCAGAAATAATGAGGGAAAAAAGAAATGCCAAGTTGTTTTTTTCTTCTTTTTTTAAGAGAAAATGCCTTGTCTAATTCAGACAGAAGTTCTACAGTAGCTAGCGCAGATCAGTGCTAAATGTAAATCTTTTGAAAGCTGCTTAACTATTACATAAATATTTTAGGTCAGAATAGAATATAGTTTTTAGAGTATAATGCTTAATCTTAAACAATTATTAAATATAATAATGTTTAAACTGTTAATATGCAGCTGGACAGATAT